ACATTATGACACTAAATAAACTTTAAGACTTCGCATAAATACGTGAAAACAAAACTAAAACATAGGCAAATGTTTACTGTGGTATAATATACAATCGACATAAACATTTATATATGCATATAACATTAATGTTCTTTTCATGTTCACTGTCAGCCAAATCTCAGGAACTGTCAACGTCCAGCTCTTACTACGCTGGACCTTACGCTGTCCCTCGAAGACTTTCAGAAACACTTTGTATTAACCAACGCGAAAACCAGAACACTAATTGACGATTCGAGAATCCTTTATTCTTACGTAAACATGCAACCAACAATAAGGTTATTATACACAAGGTCTAAGAATAAATGTTATAACAATCAACCACGATGATACTTCTGATAGTCTTCGATCTTCCACTCAACAGCGAACGATGAGACGATGACTGATGGATGGATGACTCCCGCGAAAAATATGGAGGACATTCACATACTTTCTCTTTCTGTTATTCTGCTACTGAGCCTACTCTTCTATTTATCTTCCGATCGAGGTCGAACAACCCTCCATTTAAACCGAAATGAATCTGGACTCCAGATCATTTACTCCTATATCATTCTTCAGGGGTTGGCTAGTAATGACTCAGCATCCTTGAAAAAATCCACTGTCACCATAACAAAACGCTATACAGCATCCTATACAAGCACTGTCAGAGACGGAGCCTACTGGACACAAGGTCAAGGAGAGGAGCAGATGTGGGTTCAGACCACTATCTAGTAGAAGGGACTTTCAAGGTGAAACTAAAAGCCTCGAGGATAGCTGGGGATAGGCCACAATGCAAGTTCAACACTCGATTACCGAAGGACACAACCACAAAAGACACCTTCACTGCGACTGTCAGCGCAAAGCAGGAAACACTACGCGACAGCACTGAAGAATCATGCGTGGAAGAACATTGATAGTCTCTGAAGGCGATTCTCAACGAAACGTGTTCAGCGGTTCTAGGAAGAAAGAAGAGACGAGACAAGGAATGGCTCTCAACGGACACTTCGAAACTAATAGAGGAGAGGAGAATGGCGAAGGAGAAAATGATTCAATGCAAGGACGGACCGGAGAAGGAGACACTGAGCTCAACTTACACAGCACTGGACAAAGAAGTGCAGAAAAGTGCTAGGAAGGACAAAAGACGATTCTACGACAATCTGGCCACTGAAGCTGAAAAGGCAGCAGGCAAACTCAACCTGAGGACTTTATATCAGATAACCCAATCTCTATCCGGGAAGAGATCAACACAAGGGAAACCTGTAAAAGACAGCCAAGGGAACCCAATTACCAAGGAAGAAAGACAGATTAAACAATGGGCGGATCACTTCAAAGGACTCTTGAACAGACCATCACCTGCAACCCGTCCAGAAATACCAACAACAGCGCACACACAACTTCAAGTTGACACCAATCCTCCAAAAAAGCTGAAGTCTTGAACGCAATCAAGCTTCTGAAAGCTGGAAAAGCAGATGGACCAGATAGAATACCCCCTGAAGCACTGAAAGCAGACCCAGAGATGACAGCAGACATGCTGACTCCATTATTGCAAAAGGTCTGGAAGGAAGGAGAGGTGCCTACTGACTGGAGGAAAGGTTACCTCGTGAAACTACCAAAGAAGGGAGACTTACGCCTCACTCTGCAAGAACTGGCGAGGAATCGTGCTCCTATCGACGCCAAGTAAAATCCTGAGTCGCATCATCCTGGAGAGATTAAAGCAGGCACTGGATACAGAACTCCGACCAGAACAAGCTGGATTCAGTAAAGGCAAATTATGTACTGACCAAATTGCAACTCTACGCATCATCATCACAGAACAAAGCATGGAATGGAAATCAAACCTCTACCTCAACTTCATCGACTTTGAAAAGGCCTTCGACAGCGTTGACCGCGAAGTGATTTGGAAATTACTCGAGTACTGCGGCGTACCCCAAATATTCATCAACCTTACTCAGCAGCTGTACGACAACGGTACATGTCAAGTGCTCCACAACGGAAAACTCAGCGAGGCGTTTGGAGTGAACACAGGAGTCAGACAAGGGTGCTTATTATCTATCACCAATGATATTCCTAATTGTGTCGGACTGACTGGATTATGCGTCAGGCAGTAGGAAACGAGAAGACAGAGAGGGGTATCCTGAACCGACGTGAAGAACCTAGAAGACCTGGATTTCGCGCGTGGATGATTTATGTTTGATGTCACACAAAATCGAAGACTTACAAGCGAAAACCGACAAACTGGTCGAAGAAGCAGCCGGCGAAGACAGGACTCCAGGTAAACATAGACAAGACGGAGGTTATGAAAATAACCAACCAACAACATCCAACGTCAATCACCATCAAAGGGAGGGATTTGAAAGAGGTTACTTCATTCACTTATCTAGGGAGCATTGTCTCAACTACGGGAGGAGCGGACGAGGATGTCAAATCGAGCGAGAATCGGGAAGGCGAGAAGCACATTCATCAGCCTGAAATCAATTTGGAAATCTTCGTCACTCAGCATCACCAACAAAATTCGGATTTTCAATACTAACGTAAAGTAAGTTCTTCTATACGGATCAGAAACTTGGCGGGTCAGAAAGAATGTTTCCAAAAGGCTGCAGACCTTTATTAACAACTGTCTTCGCTCAATACTGAAGATCAGATGGCCGGAAAGAATCACCAACAAGAAACTATGGGCACAAACAAACAAAACAAGAACCAATCGCCCAACAAATATGCAGGAGAAAGTGGAGATGGATCGGACACTCGTGAGGAGACCGCTGGGTGACATAGTGCGTCAGGCCATTGCTCTAGTGGAACCAGGCGGAAAGGTAGGCGGCGAGTGGGACGTCAGTGCAAGGCTGACATGGAGGAGATCGTGTGAAGAGGAGTTGAAAGAGTATGGACTAACATGGATGCAGGCGAAAAGTATAGCAGAAGACAGAAGAAAATGGAGACGTGCAGTTGAAGCCCTATGTTCCACTAGGAACCCAAGGGAGCAATAGTAATAATACAAGCACTGTCAACGATATATAATGGTTGACATATAGCATTCTACGTGTTAATCAACTTAGTCGTGCGGGACAGATGATAGCGGCACAAATGGCTTGTAAATCACGTCTCATAAACCGTTAATACCCAGCTCTTGCTACGCTCGGGCCCACGCTGTTCCTTGCAGTTTTTCAGAAACGCTTAGTAATAACGGACGAAAAACCAAAAGACCAATTGGCTACTCGAGGATTCTTTATTGTTACACCAACATATAAAAATAATGTTTTTACTAGGGTCTGTGAACAAATATTACAATAATAAATAACAAAATTACTTCTGATGGTTTTCTCCTGACTTCTTTCTGAACAGCGACCGATGAGACGATGACTGTCGTATTGATGCCTCCGCGAAAATTGGGGAAGTTGGTTTGAGCAAACAACCATGAATTGATCGTTCAATCTTCAACTCCATTGACACTCCCCGGCAAAAACGGATCCATCCCTTTTTTCCTTCACGACCAATACACGTTGACTTGGATGCCATCGCGAGAACCTGGGTCACACGGACAGAGCTGAAATGGAAAACAAACAGAAAAGCCATCACACCACAAGCATACTCACAGCACAATCTCACATCAATGAAGACCTGTGCCTTCCAGTTAAAGGCATCCTTTTGCAACGCGACCGCCACTTGCTAGAATGACTCTTGCAGAATGCAACGTGACCATGGCAGTACCTCACGATACTCTACGCTCATCCTCTTATCCACTCACTACCAATTACCACTGAAATCGCTTGTCACTCATTCTGCCTCAATTCTAGTAACGATGACGTATGCCAGCCTCAGTCGTTTACACTCTTTCTCCCCGGCGTGTCGGACCGCAGCTAACAATTATCTTCGTGTGCATGTCATTCTCAGCACTAACTTCCCCGGCGTATACGACCCATCTGCTGTCTTTAACATCAATCAATTCATTCACGGATGTAGAAGACAAGAAACAACTTCAGAAGTAATCACGACGAAAATTTTAACAAAATTACGTAATAACAACGAGGTACGAAAACAACAAGTAAACACAATGGGTCCAAAAACATCAATTGATATGACACACCACACATATATACAAACAGTACAAACAAACTCGCAGATCGTGTCTCGATGCAATTCCTTTGAAGAATCGCAGGACTTACACCAGTACACTTGCAAACCTTCTCAGGTTGACGATTGTAAGTTGTGGAATGTACGGACACAAACAAGATTAACCAACAGCTAGATGACAGATGATATCAATTCAGTATATACAATATGAATATACAAACAAGATTAACCAACAATTACATCAATTGGAACTCACACAATTATTTAACACAAACATAAGTTAAATCAACACATCAAATGTCGTGGATTCCGGCACGACAAACTACCCTTGAAGAACTGCCGATTTCCTTCTATCAGCTATATCCTCAAATTTGAACGGTAACACGCTCATGCCATTGTATCGTAGAATATAGATGACGAACAAACACACGAAGTATCTGGTCAGCCGAGCGTAGGCACAGAGTAATTTACACCAAAGATAATAACATTCAAATAGTAACTTGAAACAAGAAATGCCTTTATTCGTGCAAGTCAATTTAACAATTACTCTCTCGTTTACACTTGGCTTATCCTCACTAAACTGACCATTGATATTCGTCCTTTCAAACGAACTGATACTAGCATAGTCATTGCACAAGATACTTGAGTTGATGGGAGTCTGTTTCATTGTGGATGACAGCACCGACGACGACTGATTGATGTCGGTTGATGAGGTTAGCGATGGATCAAAAGCTGTTGTTGCTCGACTTTCAGAAATTTGTCTACCTGCAAGACCGCCACCCCTGCTGTCTTTTACTATCAGCTCAGGTTTAGCACTAGCATCTGATGATAGGTGGGCTACATGCTGATCACTTACACTGACGGTCTCACAGGTATGTATGCCTTCTGCAACTGCACCTGAATTTATTTCTACTTCACGTTCAAGTTGTACAGAAACTTTGTTCAACTTAGCAGTAGTAGGCATATCCCTCATCTCATCATGATCAACCAAAGATAAATCTGCACTATCATGATCATTATCATGAATATTCACTTTACCGTCAACTTTATTATTTTCAAACTCTTTAATAACACAAGTAGACAATTTCTGAGGATGTACTACGAAACCTGTTACACTCACTAGGTCTATATGCATTACTAGACATCATGAAGCCCTCTCGATATCCAACTCTCCGAGGCCTACTCGTCATCAATGACTGCATTTTGATCTCAGACTGCTCTATTCTAGGGGTGAGATGTAATAGACTGGCGAACTTGCTCATAGATTGATTGACACTAGTATTTACCAGTTTCAGGATATCATCAAACTTCGGCTCGATACCCTCTTCCTCCATACGGGAGCTTATCTTCACCCACTTCCTTTGCAGTCGAGTAGGTAGGCGTCTCGCTATTACTTCTAGTATAGAACTCGAGTTGAGGTCACTCATGCGATTCATCGAAATCATTCCATTCTTGTAAATTAGCAAATTATCTAAAAACTCAGTGAGTGCCTGGGAGTCATCCTGTAATTGACCACCATTACCCTTAACAGCCTCGAATAATTTCCCTGCAATCATCGAAGTTCTTCCAAACCTTTGACGTAGTATGCCCATAGTCTCGTAGTAGCCCTCTTTTGGCTTCATAAACTTACAGCACTGTATAGCTCTTGAGGCAACTCCAGTGCAATATCTCATCAAATACATTAACTTCAATTCATCATTTAATAAAAACCACTCAACATGATCTCAAACTCCTTTACAAATTGTAAATAATCGGCCGGGTTTCCATCGAAACACCGTGGTTCAAACTTAGAGAGTTTGATGTTCCTATTATCCCTGAATGGCGAAACAGTAACATCAACCATGTCATGCTTAACATCAGACACATCGTTACAATTAACAGACAAGTCACCATGACTTACTTTCCTGTTTGCATCCAAGACACTCTGTCCCTTCTTTGACCCAGGCATTGTTGAACTTGACCAAATTCCAAAATCGTTCCAGATATTGCTTGTTCAAAGAGGACTTTCAAAAACACTTAGTAATAACGGACGAAAAACCAAAAGACCAATTGGCTACTCGAGGATTCTTTATTGTTACACCAACATATAAAAATAATGTTTTTACTAGGGTCTGTGAACAAATATTACAATAATAAATAACAAAATTACTTCTGATGGTTTTCTCCTGACTTCTTTCTGAACAGCGACCGATGAGACGATGACTGTCGTATTGATGCCTCCGCGAAAATTGGGGAAGTTGGTTTGAGCAAACAACCAAGAATTGATCATTCAATCTTCAATTGTATTGGCATGGCTTATGGAGAGGCTGAGCCCTTGAGGGTCACTCATGCGCTCTGTGATTGGTAGATTTTCGTTCGCGTAAACGTTCCTGTTAATACGCGTTGTACGTTACTGAGGTGGGCTTTGAAATACCTATAATAAAAACGGATAGACATATATTTTAGCCTTAAGGAGCAGGTTAACATGCGTATAAAATTCACAGATGTGGTAAGCACTGGATCCACTTCCAAGAAGAATATTACTGGGTGATAATGAATGAATGACTTAATCAAAGAAGTATAATTTCGAAGATTTTATCTCTTTCAGTTGGTTGTAACGGATGGATAAGCGACACGTGTATACTCTTTGCTTCTTACAGAAGAGAAAATGTGACAGGTGATTTATAAGTTACACAATTTCTGAAGTCTATCGTGGAATATATGGACGACTAATTATTAATCTACAGAATTTCTCCAACTTTGTGATTGTTTCCCACGGCAGCAATCAGCTGATTTGTGCCTCTCTCCTCTGCCCACGTACGGAACAACAATGCAGTGGCAAAGGTCGGTCTTAGCTGAAGTGGGTGCAGTAAAACAGATCTGCGTTACAATAACCAATATTAATCTCCATCCAGTACAATTCACATCTGGTGTTACTTGCAATAAAAATGATGACAAAATCATTCAAATAAACCAATCGTTTTAAATTAATACCCAATTTGAACATAAAACAAGTGTTAGAGGCAAACCAGCAGGCACACAGGCAATGAAAGCAGAACACGAACTGTACAGGAGAGCGTTTATTCCGCTAAAAGGACTTTTTAAAAAGTGCGGGGGTACAGCTTTAGGGTATAACAGTTTTACTGAGGTTCATTATTGTTTAGGCTCTGCAACTCCTGTATCTCCTGGTCCAGGTAGTTGACTTCCGGGGGTCTTCCTGCATATCTCACATATCTCCCCAAACCACTTCGAAAACTCGAAATTGCTCAGCCCCTCACGAATGCACCCTCAACTATGATGTACAGGAAACACCATTCTGAAAATACAGACATCAGGTCAAAAACACATATAATGCCCTGTCATACTTCTCATGCATTCAGTAGGGGAAACGTGCCAATTGCAGCACAATGCTCCTCATGGCCTAGGAAGTACTCTGAACAGACACAGGGATCTAAGTCATATGCACACAACAACAAGCCGATCACACATTTCGGTTATAACTATACAGATTACACGGCTCTAGCTAACTCATATGATCAGAATTTTCTCCAGCGACAACTGGCAGAAACGCCAGGGATCATGCAGGTAGCAGCTTATGTATTAGCACTGTATGGTCGACATGGTCAAATGCCATAAAATGTCAAAGTTGTCGTCTGCCACGACTGCTGACCACAAAACTAAAACAGTCTAGGTGGCGTGTTAAACAAGATCTGGATTTTAGGAATCCATGTTGGTTTGGAATTACAATGTTGCAGCTAAGTAAATGCTTGAGCAGGTCATCTTTAGCTAGTTTCTCCATAATCCTAGATGCAATAGGTGTGATATTGATCAGCCTGTAGTTGTTGATTTCTGTTTTCTAGCCAGGTTTGTGTTTAGGCATAAAAATGTCGTTTTCAATGTGTCCAGGTAAGTTTAGGTTTCTGGGAACATTGTGAAGATCTTAAACAGTGGTAAACGAATGTCAGGGTCACCATATTTTTAAAAATAAAATTGTATACCGTCAGTGCCGAAACATTTTGAACTCTTGAGGGTTCCTATAGTTTGGTTAATATTAGCATAAGTGAATTCAACGGTACTAATTTATTTTTAGTGTGAGTAGAGATGGAAGTTGTGCCATATTATTTCTAGATGTTAGGAATGCTTTTGATGAGCGACTTTATTGTATATCCCCGCAATGACGCTTGTTGCTGTGTTGCTATTGGTTTCAAGTGGCCTTGGTTTTGGGGGAAGATTTAACTGATGTAATATTACGATTTCATAAACATAACTCAGGCTCATAGGTGAAAGAAAGTTATAATCCTGGAATAAGGAAAGGTTGTTGGTAAGGTAAGGAGGACATTATTTTTCAGTATAGTTGCATATATACTATTGTGCATCGAGTAAACTGAGTTCTTAGTGCAACGGTATGTAACTGAATTTACATAAAGTAAAACATTACGAATGCTCCTGTTCTTAGAATGAAAAACATGATTATTTTGGCGAAGTACAAGAATAGCGTCCCAAAACCTTGAACGTTCAAATGACCTTGAACGCATGCTAGTCATTGGTTGAGGAACCTTTCCATTATCCTAGCGCGAAAATGACGCCTGTTCATCTGCTCAGATGCAAATTTCAGCCGGAGCACGTTTTTCAGTACTGCCTAGACAATGGATTAATAGGACGTACTCGGATATGTAGTTGTGGTGCTTCTATGAACCTGCAGCCGCATACCCAGATGATTGATGGATAGATATTTAGATGTACACAGTGTAGGAAGCGAACAAGCGTTCGTACTGGTAAGTAACACTCTCAGTTGATTATCTTTTAGGAAATTTCTTCGAAAAATCGAAACTTTCGTTGACGAATATCCTGTTTCTATGCCATTACTGGATTTTGAAGACCGGGGTGAGATCAAATGCAGCCCAGACAGATAATACGTTAACGTCTACTGTGCAATGGTTCCAGTTTTGCAGAGATTTGGCGTCGTGGAAAATAAATAGCATCACGCAAGTGCTAAGCGGAGTGGGTGCCGTAGTACACATCGACGAAACTGTTCTTATAAAAAAGAAGTATAACCCGGGACGTGCTAGGGCCAATAACGTTTGGGTCCGTGGTATTTACGACACGCAGATTCGCAAAGGTATCATCAAACTTATTCCAGATAGGAGTGCGGATACAATACTACCTATTATTCAAAGATTGGTCTTGCCAGGCACAACCATTCATACGGATGAATGGGCAGGATATAATCGTCTATCTACTTTGGGATATATACACCATCGAGTAAACCACTCAGATAACTACGTGGACCCTAGAACCGGTACCAATACTAATTCAATCGAAGGTTTCTGAAGAAGACTAAAAACTAGAATCAGAGCTATAAATGGCTCTCAAAACGAAGTCATTTTTGGTCATCTGGACGAATATATGTATAGAAAGTGGTTTAATTTAAAAACTGATACTCCTTAATATAACTGGGAGAATTTTCATCTCATATTAGACAGAAATAACCTGTATGACGTTTTCTTCATGCTTCTTTGTGTAAATATACGTAAAACATTATGCAAAACTCCTCCCATTTAATGATTCGTCGGCTCAAGGTCTGTCAGCCACATCTCGTAAACCGTTAGTGCCCAGCTCTTGCTATGCTGGGACTCACGTTGTTCCTTGAAGCTACTCAGAAACGCTTAGTAATAACGGACGCAAAAACCAGAACACAGACCGGTCACTCGAGAATTATTTATTGTAACACCAACACATAGCCAATGTACAACTAAGCTTTAAAACTAAGGTCTATGAACAAATATTACAATAATAAATCACAATATTACTTCTGACGATTTTGGCCCGACTTCTTTCTGAACAGCGACTGATGAGACGATGACTGGCTGGTTGATGCCTCCACGAAAATTGGGGAAGTTGGTTTTGAGCAAACAACCATGAATTGATCGTTCAATCTTCAACTACATTGACACATGTTTTTCCTTGGCAGTATTTATTCTCTCTCACATTTTCGCTCGGTAAACTTCCATTTAGTTTTGTGTCTCTACCTTTGTGTGCTAAATGGAATGTGGTAAATTAAACAGGTGGACTTCTCTGCAACCTCATAGTGAAAGCTAGTCAGAATGACACAGTCTTGGTATAACTAAATGCGAAACATTGATAATGACCTCCAAA